CCCTCCTGTGTGCCTGAGCCAGGAATGGTGGCCCAGGGCAAGCAGTTGTGGCCAGAGATTACTGAAGCTGCTGTCCAGGGTGTGCAGTGTAGCCTTTCCCCAACCCCAGTCCCTTGCTCCCAGGGCCCCTGCCTGGGCCCTGCAGCTCTATCTGTCCCCTCTGCTGCCCTTCCAGGGTGGGTATCACAGTACCCCCAGGAGAGGACATCATACAATGCACCCCCTCCCTGGTGCTCACTGCTATGTGGGCATCCGGGATGTCACCAACCCAGTTAGGGAGAGGGCTGAGGGGCTGGGGACAGAGCCTCCTGCACATCACCCACTCACCCACCAGTGTTGCCTCCATTCTCAGCTCACTCACTGAATGCAGCTGCAGCGATGGCTGAGCTAACCTCCAGGAACGTGGGCTCAGCTCTGGAATTGGATCACACCTCCCGTGATGCCCCGTGTCCCTCTGGCCAAGCCTGACTCATGTCCCCATGACCTTGGGGACACACGCGGGATGCTTCTGGCTCTCTGCAGATAGTGTCCATCCTGCTCCCAGGACTGCACACGTCCAGGGAGATTCAGAGAGACGGGCCTTGCAGAGCTGAGTGGCTACTATCTCATAAAGCACAGCAAACCCTGGAGGGGAGCGGGTGGGTCTGGGGAGGAGGCAGATAGAGCCACGAGGCAGACACAACGAGAGGGCACAGCCACCTCCTGACCATCCCCTGACCCCTATCTGGTTGATTCTCAGACGAGAGTGGCTGGGCTGGCACCTCCCATACCCTCCACACATGAAGGCGGCTTCTGAGCACCATGCTCAGCTAAGGGGGCTGGGATGACTGATGCTCCTGTGGTCAGGCTGGGGCAGGTGAAGCCAGGGTGACCAGGGTCCTGCAGGGGAGAGACAGAGTCAGCCCCACCTGCCTCAGCCTGGGCAGGGCTGGCACTGCTGTGTGTGAGACAGGGAGGAAGGGAGGGATGAGGCCAGGAACAAGGTGTGCAAATGGCCCAGCCCAGGAGCAGCCCTGGGGCAGGAGAGCAGGTGTCTGAGCAGCAGGACGGGGAGGCGGGGAGGCTGCCCTCACCAAGTCACTCACTGCTGCCTCCCCAGAGCCCCCGAGAGCCCCCGTGCAGAGTCTGCCCCACCACGTCCATGGATCCAGTGAGTCAGGGTCAGTTTCCTTCTCCAGGCCAAGGCTGAGTCCATGGAAGGAGCAGTGGGCAGTTGGCGGCCCCTCAAGTCAGTGGACAGCGTGGCACCAGCTCCCTGAGCCGAGTAACCGTGGCCTGCTCTTCTCACCACCACCACCACCCACTTTGCCCCCTGCCCCAGTCAGGGCCATGCCCATTCACAGAAATGCAACCCTCTCAGCGGCATCCTGGGGGCCATTTGTGCTAGAGGGGTTTGGGGGAGGTGTGAAGATCCAGGCCCTGCTCTCTGCTGTGTTCCTGGCCCTGTACGTGGTGAGCGTCCTGGGCAACCTCACCATGATCGTGGTCATCAGCCTGGATGCCCGACTGCACTCCCCCATGTACTTCTTCCTCAAGAACCTGTCCTTTCTGGACCTGTGCTACTCCTCGGCCATCGCCCCCAACGCCCTGGCCACCATGTTCTCCTCCTCCAAGGTCATCACGTTCGCCGGCTGTGCCACTCAACTCTTCTTCTTCTCATTTCTTGGTACCACTGAGGCTTTGCTCCTGGCCGTGATGGCCTATGACCGGTTCATGGCCATCTGCAGCCCCCTGCGCTACCCAGTAACCATGAGCCCCTCGGCCTGTGCCCGCCTGGTACTGGGTACCTACGGTGGGGGCTGCCTCAACTCCCTGGTGGAGACCAGCCTCACCTTCCAGCTGCCCTTCTGCGGCTCCACCCGCATCGACCACTTCTTCTGTGATGTGCCCCCACTGCTGCAGCTGGCCTGTGCCGACACAGCCCTCAACCAGCTCATCATGTTTGCCATCTGCGGCTTCATCCTTGCTGGTGCCATGTTAGCGATCCTCATCTCCTACGGCTACATCGTGGTGACCATCCTCAGGATGCGCTCTGGATCCGGGCGACACAAGGTCTTCTCCACCTGCGGCTCCCACCTGACGGCTGTGTCCCTGTTCTACGGGACTGGTTTTGTTATTTATGGCCAGCCAGGAGGTGTGGGGTCCGTGGAGCAGGCGAAGGTGGTGTCTGTCTTCTACACCCTGGTCATCCCGATGCTCAACCCCCTCATCTATAGTCTGCGGAACCAGGATGTGAAGAAAGCCCTGGGGAGGCTGGGACAGAGATGCACAGCCACGTGAGACAGTGGCTGTGACAGACAGAGCCCAGGGGGCTGGAAGGGAAGACAGGGGTAGTCACTTGGTGTGGTCTGAATCATTCATTCTTTTATCCTCTCATTCATCCATTTTCAACCACTCATCCAGCCATTCTTGAAATCATGTTATGGACCAGACATATACTACTTGTCAGGGGCAAAGAGGAATCAGGCAGGTTCTTTGCCCTCAGGAATCTGAGGGTCCACAGCTGGAGCGAGACTCAAGTCACTTAGTGCACCAGCAAGGGGCAGAGCTAGGAGCAGCTTGTCCTGAAGTGGAGGATGGGAGCCAGTGTTGACCTCTCTCCGTGACAGTGCGTGGTTCAGATGCACTGAATCTCATGGAAGCCCCTGAGCATCTCAGGACATGAACCTTGGGAGGATGGGCCCAGAGCCTTCTTTACTGCATCCTGCTGTCCCCACAGCTAATCCTAGAGACTCAGGGAGACCCCTCCTCCTCCTCCATGGCCCAGCATGGCTGCTTCCTCCTCTCCCCGTCCGTCTGTGATGCTGAACCCTCCCGCAGGGCAGCACCACGCCTCTTCCTTCTGCCTGAGACACACCCACTCTGGCGTGGAGGGGACTGATAGGCCCTCTGAGCACTGCTACCCCACTCATGTGCTGGAAAATCCCCCAACGTCCCATCTGCTTCGTGTGCCACTCACTTCATCTGATATCCAAGTCCTCCTTTTTTCCTCTCTCCTCCTCGTCTTCTCTTTTTTTTTAGTAGTTCCTCGGTTTTGTGCTCCACCAAAGACATCCCCTGGTGTTTAGCCATGTTCTTTTCCCTTTCCCTCTTTTCAAATTTTCTCTCATATTCATATTTTCTGTCATTCCCTGTGTTTTCAGTAGGAAAAAGATGTCTGCCTTGTTTATCATAATATGAAGCTGGAAACATTTTTCCTTGCTCAAGTGTAGATTTTCCTTCAGGCTGTAGAATTTAATGTACAAACAAGAATGTGTTAAGAGCCCTCAGGATAAGATCATTATTCTTACACTACACGATTCTCCAAGAATCTGGAGGAAACAGGCAAAAAAAAAAAAAAAAGCTCTCAAAAGCTACACATTATTTTCCTTTTGCTTTATCTACATTTCAGATTTGGGGCACATTACGGTTCAGAAGTGGTGTCTGTGCTGTCGCCTCGTACCCCGGGAAATTCTGATTGACTCCATCTTTGGTTTCCGACATAGGTCTAGCAGTGGATGAGGTGAAGCAAAGACTTCCTAACATTCAAGGGGCCATCTTGTTGGCTTTTTATTGATTCAATGCTTGAGAACTATTTTACTTTTACTTGTGCAAAAAAAATACGACATGTGCCGTAGGAGATGAGGATCGCTAACATGGCACCAGCAAGGATGAAGCCGCAGATGGCAAACATGATGAGCTGGTTGAGGGCTGTGTCGGCACATCTTCACCGTTTTTAGCGCACTGCCTGGAATGGCTAAGCTTATCCACGTGCAGCATGGAAAGCCAAGATGCAGCCATGCATGCTAGTACTGACACAGCCACACCCACCCTCCGCCCCAGCCCGTCAGTAGTGACACGGCCACGCCCACCCTCCGCCCCAGCCCTCCGTCAGTAGTGACACGGCCACGCCCACCATGGCCCCAGCTCTCTGTCAGTACTGACACAGACACGCCCACCCTCGGCCCAGCCCCTGGACACCGGTGGTGGCCGAGCTGCGCCTCTCCTGGCCCGCGGGCTGGCGTGGCGTGTGCACGGTCCCGTCATGGCAGGGCTCCTGCTCCCCGAGGCCGTGTCCCGCCGTGGGCACCACACACGGCTGTGTGGAACTCGCCACGCGCGCCTGGGTCGCAGCGAGGGCGCCCAGGCCGGGACCTGGGCCGGCTTCCTGTCCGGCGGCCATTTGCATCTTTGAGGGCTTCCACCAGCTCTGTGGCGCCCGCGCTCACCTGCAGTCAGGGCGGCGCCGCTCCCCCAGCCTCTCTTGTCGCAGCTCCCTCCACTGTGGAGAAGGGAGCCTGTCGGGGGCGGAGCCGCGCGCTCACTTCCGGTGTGCTTGCCCCCAGTCGCCCAGTCGCCGAGGAGGGCTTCCATCTGAGGGATCCTGTCAGGGGTTCCCGCCGGCGCGCTCACTTCCGGTGCCCACCCCCATGGGCTCACTTCCGGTGTACGTGCCTACCGTCGCCAGCACTTCCGGTGTGTGTGCCCACTGTCGCCAGCACTGATGAGTCCATCCTGAGGGGTCCCGCCGGGGCGCTCGCTTCCGGTGCCCACCCCTATGGGCTCACTTCCGGTGTGTGTGCCCACCGTCGCCAGCATTAACAATGGCTTCCGTCTGAGGGATCCTGTCAGGGTCGGGGGTCCCGCCGGGGCACTCACTTCCGGTGCCCACCCCCATGTGCTCCCTTCCAGTGCCCGCGGGCACTCTTGTCTGGTGTGCGTGCCCACCGTCGCCTCCACCGACGAGGGCTTCCGGCGGAGGGCCCCTGTCAGGGGTCCCGCCGGGGAGCTCGCTTCCGGTGCCCACCCCCTGCACTTCCGGTGTGCGTGCCCACCGTCGCCAGTATTAACAATGGCTTCCGCCTGAGGGCCCCTGTGAGGGGTCCCGCCGGGGCGCTCGCTTCCGGTGCCCACCCCCTGCACTTCCGGTGTCGCGTGCCCACTGTCGCCAGCTTCCATCTGAGGGATCCTGTCAGGGTCAGGGGTCCCGCCGGGGCACTCGCTTCCGGTGCCCACCCCCTGCACTTCCGGTGTGCGTGCCCACCGTCGCCAGCACTGATGAGGGCTTTCATCTGAGGGATCCGCGGAGGAGGAGCTCGGCGTGGTCTCGACCTCACCGAGGCGCCCTGTGCTGGCCCCGAGGCCCCCGAGGCGCACGGTGAGGGCGAGCGTGCGCAGACCCGCTTCCTCCAGCCCACGGCGGGCGTCGTCTGAGTGGTCTTGTTCCGACCGCACCTGGGACGGTTGTTCCGATTCGCGGCGTTAATTGGGCTGGCGTCTCGCCTGACGCCGGTGCCGTATCGTGTTTTAAGGCGAAGTATGAGGCTTCCACTTGTACTTCTTTCCCACGATTATTTCGGCTACTTGGGGTTCCTTTGAAATTCCCTGTGAATTTTAGGGCGGGCTTCCTTGTCTTTCACTGGGGATTCGGGGGCACCGCAGATTCGCACACCGCCTTGGGTGGTGGTGACGGCTTACGCGCCCCCGAGCACGGGACACCTTTCATTCGTGTAATGATAGGCAGCTCTTGGTGTCCACGTCTTTTCTCTTGGTTAGGAGATTGCTGAAGAATCTTGCCCTTTTTGATATTCGTGTAAATGGCACTGATGTCTTAATTCTGGCATCATTCATCATTCATGTGATAATGTAGTGTTTTTTCTGTGCCTACTTTGTATCCTGATACCTGATACTTGTCTAAGTTAGCACATCAGTCCTAACGGTTTTTCATGGAATGTTTAGAATTTTGAATGTGTGGCAGATGTTCAACAGGCAATGGCACATGGGAATCCAGCGCCCCGACCAGGGCTAGAACCCGGTGTGCCGGCGCCGTAGGCGGAGGATTAGCCCAGTGAGCCAGGGCGCCAGCCAAAAACCAAGATTGGTTAGCAGTCATTTATTGGCAGAGTTCGACTTCATCGGGGGAGGGGGGGGTGGGAGGGGGACAGAAAGGTTGATGTCACAGAGGAGGGCTGTGCCTCGCGGGGCCGCAGCAGTGACAGGGTTCGGGGTGCCCCCACCGGTTCTGGGGTTTACGGCCGCATGGCTTCCAGCTGACAACAGTGTCTTGCAGGTTTTGCAGTTGCGGGCACCATCCAAGGCAGGTGTTCTCAGGCTTGGGGCACAGGGAAGCAGGATGTTTTGTTCCGAGGAAGACCCCAAGACGGCGTGGTGTGAGGGGCCCCTCTACAGGGGTTCTCAGGAGCACCTCAGTTCACGCTGCTGTCTCGGTTATGAGTCCGTCGTCCATTCTCCTGACAATAGGGTGATGTCAGCTGCACCCGGGAGGTTTGGCGCCTTCTTTTCCAGCTAGCACCACCCTGGCTTCGTTTCTGGCCTGGTGGTGGCAGCCAGGACTTCAGCTGCCCAGAGGAATAGAAGCGGTGAGGTCAGGCATCCTTACTTTGTTCTTGATCCTGGAGGAAAATGTTGTATAACCTTCTCACCGTGTAGAATGATGTCAGTTGTGTTTTTCATGTACGGCCTTTCCTAAGCTGACGTCATTGCCTTCTATTCCCAGTGTGTTGCGAGCCTTTATCTTGAAGTGGTGTTGAATTTATGAAATCTTCCTGAATCAGGAGTCACGGGTTGTGCCTCCACTCTGTTGGTGTGGTGTGCCACGTTGCTGGATTTTAAACCACGCAGTCTTAGCAGTCTGAGCTGACTCGTTCTCTCTGTGGTAGTACTGTGCTCTCTACCTCACTCTTGTTACATACATGTGTGTAACGTGTGGAGCATATATAAACAGACATGTGTGCTCTTGAAAGGGATTGTGGGGCCCCAGTCTCTTTGGCTTTGGTCTGGGCTCTCCCCCTCTCAAGGTGCCCCCACCATGACATCAGCTGTCATGAGGCCCTCACCCAAGCTGAGCTGATGCCAGCCACACCCACTGTGGGCTAATTGACCTCTTTTCTTTATGAAGTTACCTGTCCTCGGGTATTTCACTACAGCAACAGGAAACAGGCGGATATAGTATATCCAAAAACATGAAGTTGACCCTTCAGAGAGATACCCAGACTCCCGTGTTCGCTACAGCACGGCTGACAATGACCAGTACTGTGTGGAATCCACTGAGGTGCTCGCCAGTGAATGAATGCCTAACGGGAAGGGGCAGATATACACATCGGGGTGCTGTTCATCCATGAAAGAAAGAATGCTAGGGAGACATGGATGGAACCACAGGGCATAACGTTAAGTGAGATGAACCACAGGAAGACAAATTCTGCATGTTCTCACTTACTTCTGGAAACCAAACAAATTGATTTCGTGGAAGTAAAGAGTAGAGAGGCGATCCTGAGGATAGGAAGGGTGAGGGTGGGTAGAGGGAGCTTTGAGACGCGGTCCTGAGCTCTAGCGTTCTACAGAACACCAGACCTCAGCTTACAGCAGTGTAGTACATGGTTTATGGAGGACTGGAAGGGAGGGGTTCGAAGGTTCTCCTCACAAAGGAATGATCAATGCTGGAGGAGCTGGGCGTGCTGACTTACCCTGATGTGAGCATTACACACTGCACACGCACCAACTCTCACATTGCTCCCATAGAGTCCCAGCTGTGTGCTCGATACAAAGCATGTAAGTACATTGACCAATGAAAATGAAGACTCACCTCAAATGCTTCCTCTTTTATTTTCTCCCTCAATCACTTCCAACCTGAAGGGATCTCCCACACTTCTGAGTCTCTGTGTCGTTCATATGGGTTTGTTATTTACCCTGATATATTGAATATAGAATAAATAAAGACTTTGCACACACACACAGAGAGAAGGGATATACAGAGGTCCAATACATTCTTCATACATTTTCCACCAGTGGTAAAATCACAAAACTGAAAGACATTATCACAAGCAGAAAATTGACATTATTAAAAACTACACATCTTATTCAGTAATGACCAGTTTTACATGCATTTATTTTGTGGTTTCTGTTATAGCTTTGACAGTCAAGATACACAACACATCTGTTCCAAGGATATCCTATTGTAGCGAGAGCCATCTTCCTCCCTCTCAACTCCACTAACTCGTGACAACCACTATGCTCTTCTTCATCTCTATGATTTTTACTACTTCAAGAATTATTTTTAGATTTATTTATATAAAAATAATAGTTACACAGATAGAGGGAGAGACAGTGAGAGAGAGAGAGAGAGCCTCAGTTGGTACATTCCCCAGATGGCCACAATGGCAGGGTTGAGCCAGGCCAAAACCAGGAGCCAGGAGCTTCATCTAGGTCTCACATATGGGTGCAGGGTCCCAAGGCCATCAGCAGGGAGCTGGATCATAAGTGGAGCAGCAGGGACATGGCCCAGCACCCATATAGGATGCTGGTGTTGTAGGTGGTAGCTTAACCCACTACACTACACCATTGACCCCACGAATGGTTTATGAATTGAATCATATAGCATGTAACAGTTTGAGAGAGGCATTTTTCAATCGAGAATTCCATTGGAATCCATCCAAGTTACTGTGTGTATGAATAGGGTCCCGTGATGTCCATGTTACATCCTGAGACCCTGGTGAATTTCATTCTGTGTGCATGTTTCCAGCTGGGATATCTCTGTCCAGACCACCATGTCATTTCATAGAGACATAGGTTACCTTTTCCTTTACGAATGAGGATCTTCTTTTTCCTTAACTCATTGCAGTGGCTGGAACTTTCAGCACTGTGTCAAAGAAAATGATGACAGACTGTTCCCAGTCTGGGGTAGAAAACATTGTCTTTCACCGTTAACTGTGATGCTGCCTGTAGGTCATTTGCAGATGTTATCGAGTTGAAGTCCTTCTCTATCTCTGCTTTGCCAAGAGTTTTCATGTGGTCAGAAGCAGGGCTTTTTCCAGATGTCCCTTCTGGCTTGAGCGATACGAACATGGATTCTTCTCTATGCTGGTGATACTGGGGTGTCATGAGTTGGGCAGGATTTGTCTCCCCACACCCACACAGATGTTCAGACTCCAAATTCTTACATCAGTGGTTAATAGATCAACAGTGGAGACTCGCTTTAATCATGGCCTCTGAGACTTGGGCCCACAAGGAGGACTTTAAGGGCTTGGGGGCATTCGTGAGAGGGTGATGCAAGCGGCGGGTGCTCCCTGTGCCTCTCTGCTTCCTGGGTCACCATATGCCCATAACATTGGTCATCCTTCAGCCTCACCAGATGGCTGAGCCAATGGGGCCACCCAGCCTTGGACTGTGCACCTCCAAACTGTAGGCATAAGGAAACCATCTTCCTCACTGAGCGGCTGCACTTGGGGTTTTAACTGAAGTAATGGAACGCAGTGCAGTGTGGGGTTGTTACCATTGACGCCACTGGAAAATCCAGGGGAGACCTTGGAACTGCTTGACTGAAAAAAGGCTGGAAAGGCTTAGCGGGAAGATGAGAGGGAGCCATGATGCTGTGAGCAGGGCGCTGTGGGCAGCTCTGCAGAAAGCTGGGAGAAGCATGCAGAGTGAAGGCTGTACTGAGGCGGCCTCATGGGTCAGTGAGGATTCTGTCTGCTGTTGGTCCAAAGCCATCATTCCTATATGGAGGTAGAGGACCTGGCTGTGTTGTGTCCGTGTCCTGAGACTGTGGGAGGATGACCCTAAAGATAGTGGCAGACGAGAACTCAAGGCAGCAGCCTCTGTGGGGAGAGCAGGGGAGCAATGTCATTTTCCACACACAGGAAGGTGGTAGAGTCATCCAACCCACATGTGAGCAAGAAGACGTGGGATGCATGCTCAGGGAGACCCAGCTCGGCTAAGGCCCATCTGGGCTGGCTTATGGAGACATGGACAAGAGCCCACAGAGTACAGGCTCACAGGGAGCACACAGCAAACTCCTAAGGGGCTCAGAGAGAAGAGCTTCATCCGTACTTATCACTTCCAAGCTGATGGGATCACCAGGCATGTGTGTGTTTGATTTTTGATAGGAAAGGGAGAGAGAGACGGACAGATTCAGAAGGGAAACCTAGAGGCGGGTGCCTCACACTGCCCGACTGTACACGGGGTGATGATGTGTGTGGTCAGCGCCCGGGCAGGTGCATCAGGGGTCAGGTGGAACAGTTGGCCCAGTCACCATCCTCACCCAACAGGCCAGGGCTGGAGCAGCACAGGGAGGCGGTGGATGTCCATGAGGTCCCAGCTGCCTGCACCCTGCTAAGCCCTCTCCAGTGAGAGCTGCTGGTCTCTCCAAATGTGTGTGCTTTGGGCCCTGCAGCCACTCCAGGGGCCCCTGGGGAATGTGAGTTCACAGTGGCTTTTGGAAGGAATAATGATCAGACACAGATTGGCCACAGCACAGCAGCTTCCAGAGGCCCAGGGAGTTGGGAGTCCCAGTGCAGACAAGGGCCCAGAGTCACCCCTAATTGGCCTTGGGAGGCCCTGAGTCCCAGCCCTGCCAGGTGCACAAAGTCCTCCCTGGCAGAGTGAGGCCAAGGGCAGCAGACTCGCACACTGCCCGGCTGACAGGACGAGGCCAGGAGGCAGAGGTGAGCAAGCTGTCCCCTCTCCTGTCAAAGACCCAGGGCCTTCGGGCAACCAGAACTGCATGCCAGCAACTCTCTCTGGGACTCCTGTGCCCACCTCTGCCCCTCCCAGTCCTTTCCCTACCAGGAAGTCTCAGCTGGAGAGAGGAGAGACAGAGGGCCTTGGTGCCCACTTCACTCAGTTCAGCACAGACCATGTCAACAGTGCGAGGGACTCTGGGTAGGTAGGACCTGATTGTGTGGCCTTGGGTGAGACCTGACCGTCACCTGGGAAAGGCAAGACCAAGGGGCTCACCTGTCAGGGCCCCCAGGGTCGAGGGTGGCCATTTCCATGGGGACACAGCCGAGCTGGGGTATACAGTGAGCACTCAGGGCCTGCACTCAGCAGGGGAGGCAGTGACCGCCGTCACCTCCCCGCCAGCCTGGCCGGGACTTAGGGTCACCGAGAGCAGAGCCTCTGCACTCCACGTGGAGGCCACCCCTCAGGGTGCTTTGTGAAGCCCAGGCTCTGAGTCTGCAGGTAGTGCAGGGCGGGGCCAGGGAGCAGCCCCTGCACTCACCACTCCAGGTGCTGAGGACTCCCTGTCCACCAGGAGGTCAGGAGTGCGGGCAGGGCCAGGTGAGGCGGAAGCTGCAGGTGCCCAAGAGCTCTCATTGCAGGGACCCAAGGGTGCAGCTGAGCCTCTCACAGCAGGGGCCACACTCAGACTCTAGACCTTGGCTTTGGGGTGGATTCTCTACGTTTTCAGCCCGTCGCAAGGACAACCCACATGGGCAGTATTTTGAGACGGGACATCAGAAAGCCTTGCCCGGGGTAAGAAGTACCAGACCATTTCATTCAAACCCGTGAGCTCACAGTGGGAAAAGCTGCTTGGTAGAGGGTGGGGGTGGAGCGCCCTCCAACGCGTGAAGGTGAGCCCTGCCAAGGGGTGCAGCAGCTGTGCCCACCCACCCAGGGCACCCAGTCACTGCCCGGAAGACATAGCAGCCCCCGCCCAGCCAAGCTCTGTACACAGTGGCCTGGGTCTCTCTGCTGGTGACCAGGAGAGCCCAGCTCAGCGTGGTGACAATGACAGGAGGGGAGATGGGTGAGGAATGTGCAGATGGAACTGGGCAGAGCCCCCTCTGCTGTCTGAGAAAGAAAGAGAGGCCTCACCTGAGCCCCAGCCCTAAGAGGGGCAGGGCACAGGGCAGGCAGGTAGACTGCAGGAGGGCACAGGCATCCTATAAACCTGCGCTGGGCTTATCCTGACTGCTTCTCAGTCCAGGAGCCTCAGCTGACCGCTGGCTGACCAACATCCAGACACGGAGGGGCTTCTCCAGATACTTGGGTGCAGGGGACTGGGATGATTGACGCTGCTGTGGTCAGGCCGGGGTAGGCGAAGCCAAGAGGGTCAGGGTCCTGCCGTGAGATGGGGTGAGATAAGGAACCAGGAGTGCAAACAGCCCAGCCCAGGAGCGCAGGAGAGCAGGTGTCTGAGGAGCAGGACGGGGAGGCGGGGAGGCTGCCCTCACCAAGTCACTCACTGCTGCCTCCCCAGAGCCCCCGAGAGCCCCCGTGCAGAGTCTGCCCCACCACGTCCATGGATCCAGTGAGTCAGGGTCAGTTTCCTTCTCCAGGCCAGGCTGAGTCCATGGAAGGAGCAGTGGGCGGCTCTCAGCAGGCAGCGTGGCTCCAGCAGGTCCCTGTGCTCCTTGGGCCAAGTGACTGAGGGACTGTGGCCTGATCCTCTCACTGCTCTCATTCCCTCTGCAGCTGCCCCAGTCAGGGCCATGCCCATTCACAGAAATGCAACCCTCTCAGTGGCATCCTGGGGGCCGTTTGTGCTAGAGGGGTTTGGGGGAGGTGTGAAGATCCAGGCCCTGCTCTCTGCTGTGTTCCTGGCCCTGTACGTGGTGAGCGTCCTGGGCAACCTCACCATGATCGTGGTCATCAGCCTGGATGCCCGACTGCACTCCCCCATGTACTTCTTCCTCAAGAACCTGTCCTTTCTGGACCTGTGCTACTCCTCGGCCATCGCCCCCAACGCCCTGGCCACCATGTTCTCCTCTTCCAAGGTCATCACGTTCGCCGGCTGTGCCACTCAACTCTTCTTCTTTTCCCTGTTGGCTACCACTGAGGCTTTGCTCCTGGCCGTGATGGCCTATGACCGGTTCATGGCCATCTGCAGCCCCCTGCGCTACCCAGTCACCATGAGCCCCTCAGCCTGTGCCCGCCTGGTGCTGGGTGCCTACGGTGGGGGCTGCCTCAACTCCCTGGTGGAGACCAGCCTCACCTTCCAGCTGCCCTTCTGCGGCTCCACCCGCATCGACCACTTCTTCTGTGATGTGCCCCCACTGCTGCAGCTGGTCTGTGCCGACACAGCCCTCAACCAGCTCGTCATGTTTGCCATGTGTGGACTCATCATCGTGGGCACTACTCTGGCAGTCCTCATCTCCTACGGCTACATCGTGGTGACCATCCTCAGGATGCGCTCTGGATCCGGGCGACACAAGGTCTTCTCCACCTGCGGCTCCCACCTGACGGCTGTGTCCCTGTTCTACGGGACTGTCTTTGTCATGTATGCTCAGCCAGGGGCTGTGCAGTCCATGGAGCAGGCGAAGGCGGTGTCTGTCTTCTACACCCTGGTCATCCCGATGCTCAACCCCCTCATCTATAGTCTGCGGAACCAGGACGTGAAGGAAGCCCTGGGGAGGCTGGGACAGAGATGCACAGCCACGTGAGGCAGAGGCTGTGACAGACAGAGCCCAGGGGGCTGGAGCGCAGGTCTGAGACAGAGAGAGACCCTGGGCACTGACTGGCTTTCCACGCTTCTTGCTTCCACATGAGGTGTGTGTTCAGAAATTGGTTTGTCCTCCACTCAATCCTTTCTTGAGGTGTATTTGTTCGAGGCAGTCTGTGTGAGATGAAGGTGCAGGACTGTGTTCTGCCTGTGAAGTCCCCTGGATCAGAGGAGCAGTGGCAGCTGCCATGTGGAGACTACGGGCAAAGCAACATCCTGGGGTCGACGGGGCCAGTGCTGCTGTCTCTGAGCCACCCCATGCAGTTAGTATCAGAGAGGTCAGATACCTGTACGTCTTCATCAACCGTGTCAGAAAAATAACGTCTGTATGAAAATATAGCAGATTCCTCCCAGGTACGTGGCTGTGTGTTGTCCTGGTGGCCCACCGTGAGCAGTGACTGGAAAGGCCACTGCCTCCTTTGTGTCCCTTTTCAGCTCTTCTTCCTCACCATCCCAAAGAGATCCCGCTGAAACCATCTCTGAAATCAGGCCTCAGCATTCCCCAGAGTGAGTTCCGTGTAGTAGGAATGGTGTTGACTGTGAGTGGCCCAGACCTGACCACAGTGCCCCTCTCACAAGGAGGTCTGGGAAAAATATGGAGGGTCCATTTGGGCCCTCTGTTCCATCACACCACAGACAGGAATTAGGCAGTTTCCTGAGGACCATGGCACAGAACGTGAGGCCTGGCACCATGTCCCTAGACTGGGAGAGAGCATCTTCCTCTGGTTCACTCCCCTGTGATGATGCGCTTGGGCCATCTTCTGTTGCTTTTCCCAGGCCATTAGCAGGGAGCTGGATTGGTAGTGGAGCAGCTGGACATGAACCGGCACCCTGTTTATTGTTCTGGATAATTCCAAATAGTTTTCCAAAATATTGTAGAGTTTTGTTCCCAGAAACAGTGAATGAATTTCTGTTTCTGCACATTGTCATGTACAAGCCATGTTGCCCGTTTTATAAATCACAGCCATTCTGCTGGGCATCAAGTCATTACTACTGTGATCTTCATTTTCCTTTTCCCAGTTGCTAATGCACTTAAATATTAAGAGACATTTGGATGTTCTTTTGGGGGAAGTATATAGTTTTCTCCATTTTTTTCTACTCTGTTATTTCTCATTTTGGTTGCAGAAATTCTTCAAACATTTTTGGTATGATACCTATTTTGGTTATATAATTTTCAAATATACCTCCCACTATGTAGCTTCCATATTCATATTGATTTAGGATTTTTAACGATTTCTTAAATGTTTTCACTAAGGTAAGCTTATTGGTCACTGCACATCCTTCTCAGTATGTAATCATTTGTTTAGTCTTTCATATTTGTATCTTTATTCAAATGGAATTAATTTTTGTGTTCTTCTGAGGTAGTGGTTAAATTTCATATTGTCCATATGGCTATCCTACTGACTTTTTAGATATCTTTTTCCCAGTGTTATATAATATCACATTGTCATAATCCAAGTGTCTCTACAAAAGTGACTCTACTTCTTGAATCTGAATTCTGTTACATTTGTGTATTCTTGGATTTTTAAAAGTAAAATGTCATAAAGTCTTCATTGTTAATGAATACATACAATAATTATGTGCAATAAATATAGAAGTAAAAATTTTAGGGGCCGGCACTGTGGCTCACTTGGTTAATCCTCTGCCTACAGCGCCAGCATCCCATATGGGTGCTGGGTTCTAGTCCCGGTTGCTGCTCTTCCAGTCCAGTTCTCTGCTGTGGCCTGGGAGGGCAGTGGAGGATGGCCCAAGTGCTTGAGCCCCTGTACCCACATGGGAGACCAGGAAGAAGCACCTGGCTCCTGGTTTCGGATTGGCACAGCTCCATCCATCACGGCCATTTGGGGAGTGAACCAATGGAAGGAAGACCTTTCTCTCTGTCTCTCTCTCTCTCACTGTCTACAACCCTACCTGTGAAAGAAAGAAAGAAAGAAAGAGAGAGAGAGAGAGAGAGAGGAAGAAAGAAAGAAAGAAAAAAGAGAGAAAGAAAGAAAAAAGAGAGAGAAAGAAAGAAAGAAAGAAAAAAGAGAGAAAGAAATAAATTTAAAGTTATTAAAAGACAAGAACTGAATAAATGGAGACACGTACCATGTTCATGGATGAGAGATTTCAACATTATAAAGATCCTGATGACAACCTAGCTGATACAATTAATGATATCTTAGACCTAATGGGATTTTTAATAGAACTGGAATATAAATTGATTCTGAAATTTCTGTATAGGAGTCTGTTTTAAGAATAATCAAAGATATCCTGAAAAATTACAACAAGGAAAAGGGATATGCCCTGCGTAGCTGGAACATTCCACACTGAAGGGCACAGTAGTATCTGATGCGTGGACCCTAGACGAGCCCTGACCTTTCTGCTCCTTAAAGTCCACTCAGTCTGCTCCACAGTGCCCCTGGCCACCACATCTCTCTGCCTCCTGTGGCTGCTGCAGCCCTTACCAGGGTGTTTATCTGACATTCTGTAAAGGTCTTCTAATTGCCTCTCTGCCTTAGGCTCAGAGGGGGCTTGCTCTATCTGGGCAGTCATAGTCCTTTCTTCCCACAGAGGCCAGCATTTCTCTTGTAAGAACTCTAAAGTTATGCCCAGAACTTCTTCACAGCCTGAGCCTACACCTCTACCAGGTTCCTCTCTATCGTCTCCAGTGCAGTCCCAGCATCAGCCCCCTGTACTCTTCTCCCACAACCTCTCTCCACTGCAGACACTTCAGGTGCATTTCCCATGTTAAAATGGTGGAGGTGGTGGTGGTGGGGTGTGTGTGTGGGTGGGTGGGTGGGTGGTGGTGGTGTATGTGTGGGTGGTGTGTGTGCGTATGGGTGGGTGGTGGTGGTGGTGGTGTGTGTGTGCGTGTGTAGTGGTGGTGTGTGTGTGTGTGGTGGTGTGTGTGTGTATGGGTGGGTGGTGGTGGTGGTGGTATGTGTGTATGTTGTGGTGTGTGTGTGGTGGTGGTGGTGCTGTGTGTGTGTGCACACCTCAGTGCAGAGATCACATGTCAGTTGTTCCTGTAGTGCCCCCCAGTTAAGTGTTGAACTGAACAGAATCACCCAGCCCAGACTGACTCGTCCGCAGCAACATGAGGCCCTCAGACAGGAACACCTCTGTTCCATCCTCACCTGCTCACCTTTCCCAGCTTTTTCCAAGCTCCACAGGGTGAATGTGTCCACCTGCTGGGGTCAGAATTCTACCACCTCCATTCCTGCAAGCTCCTTCGTGACTCTTGGCCAACAACCATCCTCTCTCCTGTTTAATTTTGACTTTTTTCTGATTCGTTCTCGTCAGGCTCCAAGTATATCCAAATCTCTTCTTTTCAGCTCATACAGCTCTGTAATCGGAGCATCGCTCTCACTCCTCATAGATGCCTTAGGACTGCACACTCAGTTCTCCATTGTGCCGCCCACCCCTTTACACTCGACTCTGCTCCCATCTCTGCATCTTCAGGGCACGCCCTAGCCTTTATCAGCGATGTCTTCAAGGGAACATGGTATTGGTAGCCCATTATTCTTTGATAGTTCCTTCTCTCTTGATGACTGGGGCATTTGGCAATTCCTGTTCTTTCCCAAAACCTCACATTAATCCTACTTTATATGACATCTTGGCTAAGTTGTTCTTTCATGCCATTTAAGTCATGATGCCCCTAAGGGGGATTCTCTTGTTCCTCACATCTCTGTAGTCTGAAGGCACTTCAGAATGTTGTTTGTGAAACAGAATTAAAGGATAAGTTTGGAGCAGGTGTTGTGGCACAGTGGGTTAAGCTGCCAGTTGGGATGTCTGCATCCCATGTCACAATGCTCGGAATTGAGTCCCACCTCTACTTCTTTTTTAAATTTTTTATTATTTATTTGAGAGAGAGCATTACACAGAGAGAGGGAGACAGAGAGAAAGATATTCTATCTGCTATTTCACTCCCTAGATGGTTGCAACACCAGAGCTGAGCTGATCAGGAGCCAGTAGCTTCTTCTGGGTCTCCCACATGGGTGCAGAGGCTCAGGCACTTGGCCATCCTCCACTGCTCTCCCAGGAACATTAGCAGAGAGCTGTATCAGAAGAGGAGCAGCAGGGACACGAACTGGTGCCCATATGGGATGCTGGCGCCACAAGCAGAGGCTTAGCCTACTATGCCACAGGGCCAGTCCCCTGGCTTCTGTTTCTAATCCAGATACTGATAATGTCCCCAGGAGGCAGCAGATGATGGCACAAGTACTTGGGTTCCTGCCAATCACATGGGATACCTGCATGGATTTCTGGGCTTCTGAGGTCAGCCTGGCCAAGCCCCAGTTCTTTGTGGGTATTTGGGGAGTGAATCAGGGGACGGAAAATTTCATTCTGCATTCTGTCTCTTTCTCTTCTCTCTGTCACACTTCCAGAGAGAGAGAGAGAGAGAGAGAGAGAGAGAGAGAGAGAGTCAGTTTTGGGCAAAAAAAATTGTAGGTCATATAGTTTGTTTCTTAATACTTATCATGAATTCTTTGAATACCCCCTGTATGCATGGGTTTCATTTTTTCACCAAAATAAGCTTACATTTTCTGCAAACTTTTAAAAACATTTCACTTCAGAATCATTTTAAATTTACAAAACAAAAATTGTGAGGTACTAATGCAAGAATTCCCATATTGCTCTCACCCCATGTCCCCTGTTAACATCTCATGTGAGTGTCTTTGTCACAAATAATGAACCACAACCAGCTTCCTTGTTTTTGTGTCCAAAAAAAGCTTTTATCCTTCCCATCCATCCCAGTCTCTAGTAATCAACACTCTGTGTTCAGATTGGAGTTTTCTAAGAATTCTGCTCCCACGTGTGAGGGAGAACATGAGGTCTTTGTCTTTCTGTGTCTGGGTAATTTCGCTGACCATGGTCTTCTTTACTTCTGTCCATTTTGCTGAAAATGACAGGATTTCATTATTTGACCACTGAATAGTATTCCATTGTGTCTATACAGCACATTTTCTTTATCATTCACCTTTGATGGACACCTTGGCTGATTCCATATTCTAGCTATTGTGAACCATGCTGCTATAAACATGGTGGAGTAGGTATCTCTTTAATACCATGTCTTTTCATGGCTCACCCAGGAGTGAGACTGTGGATCGTATGGAAGCTGCATTTCTATTTTGTTGTTGTTGTTGTTGTTGAAGAAATCCCCATACTGTTTTCTGCAGTGGCTGCACTAATTCACATCCCTACCAACAGTGTGTAAGTGTTCCCCTTTCTCCACATCCTCTTGTGTTACTCCCGTTTTGAGAACAGCCATTCTGACAGGGGTGAGGCACTTTCTCATTATGGTTTTGATTTGCATTGCCCTGATGTCTAGTGATATTGAGCATTTTTTTCATGAATTTTTGGCCATTTCTATTTCTTTTGAGAACTGGCGATTCAGATTACTTGTCCTGGATACATATAACCTACCAAGATTAAATCAAGAAGATATAGAGAATCTAAACAGGTCCATAACACATTAAAGCAGTAATTAAAAAAGTCAATTTACTGAGACTTGGTTTGTGGCCTAATATATGGTATATCCTAGCAATGTTCCATGTGCTGATAAGAAGAATGTGTGTTCTATAGATGTGTGGGTAAAACGTTCTGTAAATGTCTGTAAGGCCTTTTTGCTCAATAGTATCGTTCAACTCTGATGTATCTTTGTTAATTTTCTGTCCGGGTGGTCTGTCCGTTGATGACAGTGAGGTGTTGAAGTCCCCCACTATTGTTGTTTTGGAGTTTATCTCTCACTTTTAGGTCTCATAATATTTGTACTTATATATTTGCATATATATAGCCTTATATTGAGTGCCTTTTTATCTTTTTAGAGTTTTTCCTTATTTAAAATTTGTTTTATCTCATATGAATAAAGTTACTGTTGTTAATTTTTGGTTTTCATTTGCATGGTGTATCCAGCCCTTCACTTTCTATGTGTATTTTTACCTGTGAAGTGGGTTGCTGTAGGCAGCATGTAGTTGGGTTTTG